GGTCAACCATTAGGCGTCCTACCGGCTATCCATAGTAGGTGTCAACTACCACTGACGGCGTCGTAGCATGTCACGAAAGCACTAAAACTACTTCGTAAACGTTCAAATGGATGCTAAATTCGAAATCAGCCCTATAAACTACCCTAGAAACATGTAAAACTCGAAAAAGTGAACCGAGGTCATCAAAGGTCAATGACCTGACCTGACCTTCAGGTTATCTTCACACCCACCGTGATGCATGGGAAGAACATCATTTCACATGTTTGGACGTCTACAATTACAAAAAGACTGGAAACGCGCGGATAATGTGAGCTGACATACGCCAAATCGCGATTCCGGCCGAACATGGTCTCGAGAATCAGGTCACAGGTCAAAGGTCATTTGGGTCAGGGTCATGAAATTTTTAGAGTAGGTGTAAAACTGATCAACTCGAGGGAACTAAAAGTTTCGTCGCGATCGGCCGCTTTTAGCGCGAGTTATTTGCGAACAACCATGGGGGGGGGGTTCATCCGACCCCCCTACACATGCGCGGGTCAATGCTTCCAAATGCACTTATCGGTTGGTACCTTTTCGACATGGTACACCCTCAAAGCTCGTAACGAGCCTTCGCTCGGGTGTCGCCCCCCCCCCCCCCTCCGCTTCACCGGCCATGGCTGGATTTCTGCACCCATGCACCCACAATGCTCCAGCCGTTCCTACGCCCATGTAGTTATATACGGCTTCACCTAGAGCGTAAAATGAATGTACTGAACTGCTATCTCGAGTGAAATGTATGGAATGTAACATTAAACATTTGACTATGAATGCTTCACAAGCATGATGGAAATACTTCATAATTCTGAAGTAGCAAGGCCACTTGAGCGGCTGCCCATATCGGTAATTTGTGACGAGGAAATAATGGGCTGTTTTCATGTATGCATCTATGTTATTAAGCGTACGCTTCCATGTGTCCATTTGGTCTTATGTTCGGCGGCAGCAGACCGTCAAGTGCCAATCGATACTTGGTCCTGTCACCTTTGTGAGCATTGTCCAAGTAAAGTTATTCAGTACCGCAATAGTGGCATGCTGAAGACAGAGTGCTGTTGTAGGTGTCCTGAACAAACTAGCAGCAATAATGTTGCCTACTTCAGTCATGGCTTGTCAGCCTGCAGGCTAACTTTTGCACAATTCTGTGGCACGCATTGGCACGATTCGAATCGCATTTACTAATGCGTAAACTAGTATTAAACTGTCGTGAATTATGCGTAAACCCGTCGTGACTGCGTGCTGTTTCAGAACGATTATTTTGAAATGTTCAAAATTGTGCTCACGACAAAATCTCGTGACCGAGTCGTGAATTTTTCACATACTATTCGTGAACTCGTGGTGAACTCTTCGGTTCGATACGTGAGAGTGCGTGCCAATCCGTGACATTGCGCGCCATGCCACGACGTTCACGAACTGCCATGAAGATTTCACGAGCAGTTCACAACATGTTCACGGATCGGTGGGCATCGCAACGTGGCCCTGTCTTCCCATGACACCGTCACGTGTACTTCACGCATCGATGGCACGAATAGCTCACGAATATGTTACGCATTTCACGAATAGGTGACACATGGCACGAACAGTTCGCGACGATTTCAAGAACAGTTCACGACTACTACCTGACAGCGACTCTCGTGTTGGTGCGGGGTGTTCCATTGTTATAATGTCATACTAGCAAGCTCGTGACTCTTGGTCAACATTCCCTAGCCTACACTTTCCTTTGTGTCTTTCTTTTAGGTGGGGCTGCATTTTTGCTCTTTTTCTCCTCTAGCCTTTTTCCTGGTCTTCAACAATGGCTAGAGTATACCTATAGGCATTTTCTCTTCTCCGCAATAGCTGCGTACCGGGCATGTGACATGTTGTCTCTTGCCCAAACAATCTAAGTATGACCAGTGGTTAGGAAGACCTCATTTTTATATGGCAATCACGAAATGCGTCACGTCACATCGTCACGAAATGCGCAAACTCGTCGTGCTCATGCGGGAAGTGCACAAGCTATTGGTTAAGCTATGCGAAGACTATGCGAAAACTCGTCGTGCCAGTTCGTATGAATGTGGACACTGTTTCATGCTCACTCGTGAATTTTTCGTGAAATCGCCGCGAGCTTGTGAACTATGCGTGAGCAGGTCGTGAACAGTGCGGGAGCGTCCCAGCTCGTGCCCAAAAATGACACAACTCGCACGACAAAATTGTGGCCAAAAGGCGTACAAGCGTCAGGCCGCCTTTAGGGAAGAGGCACCTGTCTGATGTCTGTCTAGTGTCTATGCGATTATAGTAGCCGTATTCACCATTTATTCTTTGCTAGTTTTCGATTGTTGTCAGGGGACCAATTGAAAATAACCGCGATGAGCTAACTATTTACCTAGCTCGTTGGAAGAAGTGTTAATTAAGTCATACGATGCTCAAAACAAAACGATGAGCCTGGGACGATAATCGAAGATGGTTCCTATGTAGGTATTTATTGTTCCATGATTGCCAAGAAAAAAAAAACGTTTTCATTAGGCACACTATTTTTTTTTAGAAATTATGTCCGAATGGATGAATGGGTGGCTATGGGCCCGGGTGCCCCGCTAAGCAGAGCTTGTTGCGAATGACACCACGGACCCACCACCCCACCTTGCCCGCGCCCGGTTCACCGGTGATAATTTGGATCGAAAGTTTAACGTGCCGCAGGTAGATGGCGGCACGGTCCTCCCGGGTCTAGCGTGGCCCTCTCTCGCCAGTTGCCAGCTGGCTTAAAGGTAGTGTGCCAGCTTTCCTGGACCATATGGAGTTAATGACCCGGATAAGGAGAACCGGATTTTTAGAACTTATCCATACCTTCAAAACTTATGGAAACGTCTTAAATTCTTCAAATTTTGAGTACCCCAGTGCGAAATTCGCCCCGACGGGTTGTCGGTCGTACCCCAACCACATTTCACACCACTATGAACAATAAATGCACACACTAAAATCGCTATTACCGATAGGCTCATCCAATCAAGTTTCGATAAACCCGTTCATCATCATCTCCTGCGGTTTCGAACACGCCTGTTAGGTGGCTTCTGATGCTCGTCGAGGTCGGAATTTCCAAATACGCGTGGTGCGTCGGGCCGCGCGCTCTGACTTCGGCCAAGAAAAATGCGTCAGCTGATCATTGTCATTTCTGCCACTTGCGTGTGGTGTAATGGGGTCATAACTTAAGAGACGGCTGTTTCATATCAATTATTTTACATAAAATCATATTTCAAACCACAAATTAATGTTCGACAGCCAAATTTAAGACACAATACCAATACAGGCTTACAGTTTAAGGCTCGACATTGTGTTGTCTACGATTAGACAGCTGATAACTCATTCCCGTACGTCGTATGGTCGTAATACTATAATGACCTTTGCTTATTGTCACAAGTGCGCCGCATTCGCGATTGTTGCCCGACGCCTGTTTGCAGGTGAGCCCACTACAGTTGTTATACATATCTAAAAACCGATAAACTTTTAGGCGAAAAAGGCACTATTCCAGGCCCATTTTTGATTTTTTTTTGCGATATTAGGTAAAAGCAGAAGCTTCTTATCCTAGGAAAAATAAAACGGGAAATCTTTCAAAGGTGGCACACTACCTTTAATATAGGAACGCGGGTCAAACGACGTAGAGCTTCCCGGCCACGAACTCGCTGCCACCGAGTTAGGAGACGGACGCCTTATCCACTAGGCTTGTTTTGTTTGTTTGTTTTGTTGGGTTAGGCCCTTTCGGTCCATTAAGACCATTTCAGAGCCGGGAGGATGATAGGATATAGGGGGAGACATTGGTCTGGGCAGGCACCCTAGTGAGTCGCCGGGGCTGAGCCCGTCCAGAGGACAGGCCACCCAGCCCCAAGGCACTCACTGCACCCGGCTACGGGGTGCGCTCCCTCGGGAGCAGCGGTGCCGCTCCAAGGGAGCAGCCCGCATGAGATAAAGTTGCCTGTCCAGCCCGGAAGGGGGTTGCGGTGTGAAGGAGAAGGATTTCAGTTTCCTGAGGATGGAAGCATGGAACGGTGTCCACTAGGCCACGGGGAGGACAACTATAGCATGCATCCTTTGACCTTTCGGTATCCTAACGAGAAACGATCGTTTCTTAAATCGATAAGGTTTACATGGAAGAAATTTGGTTGAATGTTTAGTGCCCACAATATGCATGCATGAATCAACTTGCCTCAAAAATCAAAAACTTTTTTAATCATGTAAATATTGGTCCATTATGCCAACACTGGGGAGTAGAGTAGGTACACAGACAGTGACGCACTATAAATTTACGTTTTGCTAGCCGACTGTCCTGAACGGTGACGATGCCCATTGGCGTCATCGACGACATTTATGGTGTTTTGAAAACAACTTAAAAGTTAGGTACGTACGTCCACCACCTATGGTGAGCGAAACCCACTGCTATAATGTTTTGGCGCAGCGCGTAGGGTGGCAACTACAGCGCGAGCAGGACTTGGGTCACTGCGGGAAATGGGTACCTACTATTGGTGCCAATCGGAATTTCTTTTCTTGGAATTCCAATTTTTGTCCAATTCCAATTTGGAATTTGGACGGAATTCTTAACATTTTTTGGAAATTAATCGGAACACAAGGACTTTAAAATTTAAAATTTTAAAACGGAGGCCTTTAAAACGCTTTTAAACACTTTTTAAATTTACGCAAAAAATGCAAAAATCGTTAAAAATTGGAATAGCCCCCGCTTTGGACAAAATTGGAAATTTACTTGGCAATTTCTTGGAATTGGATCGGAATTGGAATTGAAATTTCATGAAATTGGCACCACTAGTACCTACCCACTCGCCTTGAGAGGACATGGATGAGGTGAATGTGAAGAGGCACCTGTGGTCCGAGTGGGCGAGTGGTGGCGATCGGTGACTCATGTATTTAAATACCGAAGTTACACATAAAATCCTACCTGTAAAGGGTATGAGAGTTGGTATACCTACAGGGGTTGGGTTCCTCCGGCTTACCTCCCGGCTGACGTTCCCGCTGCAGCCACCTGTCCCTTTCTACACGATTCGGCACGGCACGAGACGGCTGGGCACGACACGGAAGACACGACACAACACGGTTAGGTTCGGCACGGCGCGGGCCCGTGTTTCTGGCGAGCGCGGCACGGCGCGGGCTCAGGTGTCGTCTGTGCACGAGCAGGTCATGCCCAGCCCACTGGCAGTGCACTGCCGCGGCACTGGCCGGTCGGCCGCCGGGCCGGGTCGTTCCGCAGGGTTGCCGCGGCGTCTCATAAATGGGTCAGTTGGGCTGCCGTACCGTGCCGCCGCTGCCGACACCGCCGGCTCCGTGAGCGGTGGGCTGAACCGAGAGATGGAAAATGGAGCAGATCACGGCAGATGGTCGGAGGAGACGCGGGTTGGGTAGAGCGGGGAGGTTCTGTGTCAGACAGAGCAGGGGAGGCTCGAGTCGGCAGAGCAGGGAGGATTAGAGACAGCACTAGACAGAACAGGGGCGATACGAGTTCCTACTGAGCGAGTTCCTCCATGACACCGGCATGTGGGACTGAGTCAGGCAGGTCCAGGAAGATGCTCCTTCAAACAGAGCGAGGGAGACCGGGAGACAGTTCTAGACAGAGCAGGGAGAAACTGCACCAGACAGAACAGGGGAGAGTTGGAGACCCGCGCCAAACAGAGCAAGGAAAGTAGGTATTAAATACACCTGGGACATTGAAAGGGATGGAATAGAGAGCGGAGCGGGAACATGAAAGAAGATTAACTTAGATAGTTATGCGCGTGACTCGGAGAAAATGCATGTGACGTCTGATGCCATGGTCTTTTTGTGAGATGTCCACCGAAATAATGAAAGCCGAGCAAGATTTTTTCATTTTTAATAAGGTCCCATTAGATCATTAATCGTTTTATAGCAGGATGAATTTGGTCGAGACCCATCTGTGTTGTGGTTTTGTAGCACGTGCTACCATTTGCCACGGGACTGTTTTAGAGACACACTTCACAGTTGATCACATGACAGGTCGCCCCGCCCCTACCCGCGTCTGTCATGCATGGCCGCGTCCTATTGCGTGCACTGTGCAGGGCGGCGGCTATCGGCAGCGGCACGGGCAGCCGCCCGGGACGCACTCCGAGCACCATCCGCGAGTCAGGCGACGGCGGCAACGGCAGCGGTGGAGGTCACGGAACACATAGGCTCAAATAATTCGACAGGGAAATGTCTCAGGTATGTTTGCTGCTTACGCCTATCAAGTGTGACGCCTGACTGACCGCTCGACTCGCCATCGACGGACGCTCAAAGTCGCACCCCTGACCCTTGTCAGGAATGACGAGATCCGTCTTATCGCATGGAAATATCCGACTGAAGCAAGCGCGCTGCATAAATGAGACGGATGTCATCTATGTAGGATTCAAATTTCCTTGTTCAAGGCAAATCACTTGCTTTAATGATTACAAACATAATTTATGATGGCTATTAACAAGACGTGTCTTTCTAAGTATTCTTTTTATTTCATAGAGCAGTGATTGGTTGTGGTATTGCTTACAAGGAACGATCCAAAATGGTTATTTCTTAACCCCGAACGACAAACGGCCTTAGCCCGGAACGAGTTCTGACGGAAAGTGACTGGAATGGCCCAGGCCGGCACCGTTTAGCCCAAAGTGATAATGGTTACATACATAATGCTGTACCTATATTACCATTGCGTATTAAATCCATTCAACTGAGCAAATGGTTTATTTAACCCTCGCACGACCAGGCCATTTCTCATAACACGAACGACCAGGGGGGGGGGGGTTGTTACGACCCCCCCCCCCCTGGCGTTTCGAAACGGAAGGTCGTAGAGCTTAGCGGAAAAAACCAACGGATTGCTCTCAACGAGATCTCGCGATTGGTGGTATATTTTTTGGTCCTTGGTCAACATTTGACCTACTTATGACCGGTCAAAGGTCAAATTTTCCGAAAAAATCAAACTTTTTCAACTTTCCGCGGCGATTGCGGCAAAACGGTGGGAGATATCGACTTGAAACCTTCACTATCGTGTTCCTTGATCAATTCTCTATCGTTACGGAGCGAGCGAAGCGAGCGGAGTCTTTCCTTAGATTAACGGAAATTTCTGAGTATGAGCGGCCGGCCGGCCGGCCGGCCGTGGTCACGCTTTTGCGACGCTTATATCTCAGCAACCACTTGACCGATTTACACGCGGTAATTTTTGTAGGGTAGCTTCATTCCTTCTGCCAAGTATTGGACTATTCCCGATGCATGTAGGTGACCCCTTATGCACGTGCCACGTGCAAAACGAAGAGGTGTCACTTTTGTAATTGTTGCAATATCTCGGTAACTACTTGGCCGATTGCGCTGAAAGTTGGCATGTAGGTAGGCACCCATTAGGCAATGCCTATCCATGTGCCAGAGTTGGGGTGCTGCTGCACGTGCGCACGTGCAGGGGTCGATTCCAGATCTCGAGAACGGCTGGACCGATTGCGCTCAAATTTGGTACACGGTTACGGAGCAGTTAGTAGGGTGCCGTGCACAAGTCAGTTGGGACCCATTTTGCACGTGCGCACGTGCAGGGTGCCGCTTCCAGATCTCGAGAACGGCTGGGCCGATTGTGCTCAAATTCGGCACATCGCTAGAGACCGGTTAGTAGGGTGCCGTGCACAAGTCAGTTGGAGGTACCCCCTCGCAATTTCGCACGTGCAAGGCCCACCCTCTCGCTCGCTCCGTTAGTCGCCCCATAAGGCGCTATACTGGTTTGGTATGTATTTCGTTTCCCTAGCTCTAAACATGGCGCGTTGGGAGCGCCGGAAGTCGGCAAGGTCACAGTCGGCGGCAGAAATTCGAAAAATCAAAATTTAAATTTTTGAAATCTGATTGTATTTTTGGATTTGGGAGGTCCATTTGCTCCCTATAGAAGCTAATATTGCTGCATATTCCCATTGAGGTGACAAGAATTAGCAAAATAGTGGTTCGGGCGCTTTTCAAAAATAGTACCGGACGCTGTTCCTCTTGTGACGTCATAGCTCCGTGACCTGACCTGACCCGGTCAATTTTCTTGCACCACACGATAGCCAATGCTTGCCCCAACATGCATGGGAAGTTTCATCATGATTCATCAAACAATGTGGGTATCACCGGCAGAAAACCTAGGGATTCGGCGCACACGTTTGGTAACTGTCGGCCGGAGGCTGTACCTCTTATGACGTCATAACTCCGTGACCTGACATGACCCGATCAATTTTTTTCGGCAAAAGATGCGCAAAGGTTACCCCAGTCAGTATTGAAAATTTCTGCCCGCTACGACAAGCCGTTTAGCGTGCACTTCGAAAAAACCTCATGGGGGGGTGATACAACCCCCCCCCCCTAGGCGTTCTAGGGTTAACTCGACTTTCTACAATAAGACTACATTTGATAGCTGTTTGACAATTGGCATTTAGGTACTTTACCTACTCCACTTGATACAACATTTGTACTCACGGTACCTACCTACCCAGCCAGCCTTCCCAAATGGGGCCCATATGGGCTGAAAGTGGGGCATCTGGGCTTAAGTGGGCATGGGCTACATGTGGGCTATTATCTGGGCTAAATCTGGGTCCCATATGGGCTGAGCCCCAGCAAAACATGCCCACATGGGTCCCATATGGGGTGAACATGGGCCAGATGGGCCCACGTGGGACATGGGCTACAGATGGGCTACCCACATGGGCCCCATATGGGATAAAAATGGGCCAGGTGGGCCAAACGCATGTGGGCTGGAGATGGGCATCCCATGTGGATCCCATATGGGGTGAACATGGGCCAGATGGGCCCACGTGGGACATGGGCTACAGATGGGCTACCCATATGGGCCCCATATGGGATAAAAATGGGCCAGGTGGGCCAAACGCATGTGGGCTGGAGATGGGCATCCCATGTGGGTCCCATATGGATCACCCATGTAGGCCCCATTTAAGTTACTCCAAGAGCATATGTAAAAGCAAAAAAGGTGACTGTTGTTCATGTGAATTTTGGACTCCAAGTACATCAAGTTCATACATGATGCCATATGGGGTCAATGTAGGCTGGCCCATATGGGTCCCATGTGGGGGCCGCGTGGGTCTCATATGGGGCCTACGTGGGCTTGCCCATATGGGTCCCATGTGTCACCCACTGCTATTCCCATGTGGGGCCCATATGGAAGAGGTGGGGGCCATGTGGGCCCCATATGGGAACCATGTGGGCATGTTTGCTGGGATATGAACATTTCCTTCACTACAAAATGTTGGTATCTGACCCGACACCTATCTGGGCTGGATGCGGGCAGCATGTGGGCAAACTGGACATCAACAAGCTGGGCACACCCAGCCGGGGCCCACATGGGGCCCGGCCGCCCACATGGACAAAATTTACTACAAAACTTTGTTAACTGACCCGACACCTATCTGGGCTGGATGCGGGCAGCATGTGGGCAGACTGGGCACCAACAAGCTGGGCACACCCATCCGGGGCCCACATGGGCAAAAGTTACTACAAAACTAATTGTTAACTGACCCGACACCTACACCTATCTGCCCAGCAAACATGCCCACATGGGTCCCATATGGGGTGAACATGGGCCAGATGGGCCCACGTGGGACATGGGCTACAGATGGGCTACCCATATGGGCCCCATATGAGATAAAAATGGGCCAGGTGGGCCAAAAGCATGTGGGCTGGAGATGGGCATCCCATGTGGGTCCCATATGGATCACCAATGTGGGCCCCATTTAAGTTACTCCAAGTGCATAATAGCAAAAAAAGTGGCTGTTGTTCATGTGTATTTTGGACTCCAAGTATATCAAATTCATGCATGATGCCATATGGGGTCAATGTAGGCTGGCCCATATGGGTCCCATGTGGGCGCCGCGTGGGTCCCATATGGGCCTACGTGGGCTGGCCCATATGGGTCCCACGTGGCACCCACTGCCATTCCCATGTGGGGCCCATATGGAAGAGGTGGGGGGGGGCATGTGGGCCCCATATGGGAACCATGTGGGCATGCTTGCTGGGATATAAATATTTCCTTTATTACAAAATTTTGTTAACTGACCCGGCACCTATCTGGGCTGGATGCGGGCAGCATGTGGGCAAACTGGGCACCAACAAGCTGGGCACACCCATCCGGGGCCCACATGGGGCCCAAATGGGCAAACTTTACTACACTTTGTTAACTGACCCGACACCTATCAGGGCTG